CCTGCTCTCTAAGGTATCGAAGATCAATCGAGCATCATCCATGAGTCCATAGCGTGTGTACATGTCAAGAAGAGAGCTACCCACATAAACATTCGAATCAAAGCTGCTCTTGAGGCAGAAGCCATGGAGTTGGCGACCACACGAGTAGCCAGCCTCAGCCGCAGCTGCCTTGACAGTGCTGGACAAAGTAAACTCATTAGGACGGAAACCGAGTTTCAACATCCGGGAAAAGAGGAGGAGGGCGTCTTGGGGTTGTTCATGCTGAGAGTAACCGGAGATCAACGTGGTCCAAGAGACAGAATCTCTTTCGAGCATTTGGTCGAACACTTTGCGTGCTTCATCCAAGCTACTGCATTTGGCATACATGTTGAGGATCGTGTTGTGCATAATGAGGTCGTCACGGTACACGGAGATGAGGATATGGGCATGGACGATTCTCCCCTCTGAGATTCTCTTAGAATCGGTGCATTTCTTGAGCAACAAGTGGTATAGACTTCTGTCGACACGGTCGCCGAGGATGTCCAGAACATGAAGCCCGGTGCTGTTCTTCGCCGATGTTTGTTGGCTTCGGCGGAGAAGATCCTTGGATTGAATCACGAGAGATGCAAACTCATCATCTCTGGCTTCGCAAGCAGAGGAGGACAGAGGCCGAGAGAGAAGGCGAGAGAATTTCAAACGTGAGGATTTTAGAAATACAGATGTTGTTGTCGACGACATGTTCCCCTCCCTGTTCGGACAGAGAATTTTTTTCTCTCGAACACGTCTTAGAAAGTATCAACTGCACCAATAACCTTCCTTCACCGTCAACAATGGCGAATTCGGTTCTGGGTCTCTGATTTTGGGATTTTATAACAAACTTGCGTTGCTTATCCTTCACGGGTTTCTTCCTCTATATCCCAAGATCGTCCCTTTGGCGTTGATCTAAGTTCTCGAGATGCTCAAGCTGATGTCTTGGTCGGATTGGGTAAACGGGCTTCAAAGATGATGGCTTTCATTCTTATACTGGTCGTGTCTCTTATGCATTTCTTCCTCTGCACTCAATCTATCTAATGGGAGATATTTGCGGAGCTTGCTGAGAGCAATTTCCAGGCTCTAACCCTATCCATCACTACACTTGCTCCTTGTAATGAACATTGAAACAACAAGTATATAACAACGAGGGAAGAGAGATTCCTTCTGTAACAAATATGCAGCTCTTACAAAGACCACTGTGAAGGAGAACAGTTATCATTTTCTGGCATATGGAAGAGAAACAATTACCAAGTTTAAAAAAGCAGATAAAAGATACAACAAATCTTCATTATTAACCCGTTTGAAACGGGAGTGAATAAACAGTTTGATGGTACAACAGCCTTCCAGTATCTTAGGCCTTATGCTCAGTAAGGCGGTGATGATGATGGGTGGACTCTGATGGTTTCGATGAAGACATATCGATCAAATGGTCTGCAGTGGAATTCAGATGAGAAGCTTGTCCTAACTTCTCAGTCTTATGAATGTCTTCGCGGACATGAATGTCCTCTTCAAGCATCACCACTCTTGTCGGCTCCCTGTGAGGTCCAGGCACTATGGCTTCCTGAACTCTGACGTGTTCGTCAAACTCGGTGATCTCTGTCTTCTGAGATGCCTTCTTCTTCTGTTTCTTGACGCAGCAGAAGAGAGCGGCAGCCATGAAAGCAAGGAAGAAGAGGCCCCCCAGGGAGACAAAGACCACAATGATGACAGTATGGTGGTGAGCCGGCGTTGGAGGAGGAGGAGGAGGAGGAGGAAGAACATGAGGCGGTGGAGGCACATGGGGATGGGGAGGGGGTGACGAATGTGGATGAGGTGGCGGCGGTGGAGGAATGGCAGCAGGAGGAGGAGGAGGAGACGGGTGAAATGGATGGCCCGGAGGGGGCGGGGGTAAATTTGGAAGCGGAGGAACGGGCGGGGAGAGATGATGAGGCGGAGAGGGAGGCGGGGAAAAGTTTGGAAGCGGAGGAGCGGGCGGGGAGAGATGCTGAGGCGGAGATGGAGGTGGCTGGTGAAAGGGGAAGTAGTGAACAGGGAATGAAGCCATTGTTAGCAGATAGAGACCAGATTTTTTTTGATCGGGAGGTGAAGTGGTGAGATCTTGTCCCAGAGTTCCCAGCCTATTTGTAGCATTAGATATGAAGCCCTGTTGAAATATATGAATATGCTTCTAAGATACTACTTGCTTGAATCACATTCCAAGATTTGTTTTGATTGTACTCCAATCCACTTCTCTTGAATCTAAAAAAAAAACAGGAACGTTGTCTGCTTCACCTGAAAATTTCTACAGATTCATGGTATTCATCAATGGCTGAAACACAGAGAATATTATGTACCATACATTACAGACATCAGCTTGTGTGACCTTGAGCTCTTTTCATGGCTTCCATTTGGAGTAGAACTTCTGATCATTCCACATCAACATTCTGCTCAGTGAAACCCTAACATTCTTCTTCTTCAAAAGCCAATGCCTTGGCTTTATCCTCTTCTCCAAGCTAAACCCGAAGTACTGCGGAAACTTCTTCAGCTCCTCCATTTCTCTCTCCATGTCGTAAACCAGAAACTCAAACTTGGGTCGCAAGTTATCCTCCACATTGTACCCGAAAATGGCCGGCATCCTCGCGCAAACCCTAGCTGCCTCTTCACGATCAAACCCTATGCTCCTTAAAAACCTCACCTTGATCTTCAACTTGTCGACCCTCGTGTTCAGGACATGCGCGTTCATCTTGCTGGGTCTGTTCAGATTCTTCAACCCTAGCTCCTGAAGGTAACACATTGTTGGTCTCAAACAGTACTCCACATTGGAGAGGAGGATGTTCGGGAAATTTACGATTAAGCCCCTGGAATCGGCGGCGGAAGCTCCGAGCTCCGAGCTCAGGAATTCGAACACGGGCTCGATTCGGGAGGTTTCGAATGTCGGGGAGAAGAGATCGGGACAGAGAAACGCTAGTCGCGAGAATTCATTGTCGGAAATGCCCTTGGATCTGAGGAAGTTCACGGTCGAGAGGATCGCCGGAAGTGCCTCCGGAGGAAGGGCATTTTGGGGATCTCGAGAAATAACTCCGAGGGTCGATAGGTACCGGAGATTTTCCCGGTGAGAGGTGTGGAACTTGAGATACAGAGGTTTAGGTTTTGGGTTTGCAGAAGAAGAAGAAGAAGAAGAAGAAGACGAAAAAGAAGAGCAAAGAGGTTGAAGAAGACGAAGAGCATACATCGTTCTGGTTCATAGTGTTTCACCTTATCCCGGTTCGGTCTTATATCTGCAGCTGAACCAGGCAAAATGGTAGACCGGTTTGGTTTTATCGGTATCGGATTAAGATTCCGTTTCGTTTAAGAGAAAAAATTCAATATCGAATAAACCCGTTCCATTCGGTTTATGGTCAGCTGATTTGATTTTGCCATATTGGTTATGTTTGTTTTTCCAGCCCGTTTTAGTATTTTATTCGCTAAATGAACCGGAATTTTGGTTTTAAACCGGTTTCTAATTGAACCGGTTTTGTGTTAGATCTCGTTATCTTCAAAACACGAGATAACAGAACTGCCAACAATGTCCGTTCATGTCCCACATAAAACCCAGCAAACTGGAGGAAAATATCCGGGAAACGCTAAATTCTCGAATTCAATATGATACTAACCCTAAATCCCACGATTCCCTTTTCCCCAAAATCGTTTCCACGATCTACTCTTCGTCTCTGTTCTTCAAATTATTATGGAACGAAAATCGTCACTTGCAAGCTGAGGACGCCTCAGGATGGGATAGCGAAGGCGAAGAGTGGAAGCGGAGATATCACTAAGAAGATTCTTCTTTCGAATTCTGCGCCGCCGGTGACGGAGGACGTCGGAGAAAGCGGCGGAGATGGCGGTGGAGAGGAATCCGGCGATCGGCTTGTCAGGGGAGGTGGTAGTTTGGGGCTCTTGAAAAGGTTTCCGAGAAGGGTTTTATCCGTTTTGTCTAATTTGCCTTTGGCTATCACAGAAATGTTCTCCATTGCTGCTCTCATGGCTCTCGGTAAGTTTTTGGGCTTTCATTGTGTATAAAGCAGCTCATATACACTTATATACATTCGTCCATATTACGTACCGTATGCATTCATGTGGATTACATATATACGGAAATGATCATATTACAGGCAAGTTGGGGATTAAGCCTAGAGTTTTTTGGTTGCTGTCAATCTTATTAGAATGTTTATCTAATCAAACATGGTATTATAACAACGTGGGTCTTTCTTGACAGTTTAACCACTCCTTCTGGTGACGCTTCTCTGTAGGCACTGTAATCGAACAAGGCGAAACCCCTGATTTCTATTTCGAAAAGTATCCAGAGGATAGTCCTGTATTAGGGTTCTTCACTTGGAGATGGGTTCTCTCGCTTGGCTTGGATCATATGTATTCTTCTCCCATTTTTCTCGGCATGCTGGTTCTCTTAGCGGCTTCACTAATGGCCTGCACTTACACAACCCAGATACCTCTGGTTAAGGTGGCAAGGAGGTCGGGTTTTCTTCCCTTTTGCTTCTTTTTTCATTGTTTGTTTCGGTTTTTGGAGAACTCTATGGTGAGAAGATGGCAAAAAAGAATCGCAGATGGAGCTTTATGAAGTCGGATGAGGCAGTTAAAAAGCAGGATTTCTCAGATTCCCTTCCGAGGGCATCCATTCAAGACTTGGGCGTAATCCTCATGGGTTCTGGTTATGAGGTTAGGATCATCTATTCTCGCTTTTTCAGCTCTTTTTCTTGCATGTTTTTATACTATACGGTACCTTGTATATACACATGTTTATGTCTCGGGTGATCATGTGTGTATGTGTGTGTGTGTATATATATATATGCCTCTGGCTATCTCGATCCTTTGTGCATTCTCCTGATCTTGTTCCACTTCTGTATTAGTTATAAATTGTGATGGCAGAAAACGAGGTTGGAAACCAATAGGGACAAGGTTGCATTTCGCGAGTGAAAATCTAGAAACGTTCAGCTGAAGGTTTCAGTGTAGGAGTTAACCTGCTTCCTGAACTTTGAGCTTTTTCCATTGTTCCGTTTTACTAATTTCTTGGTTTTTTTGGTTCTGTAAAAAGCGGAATTAAGGATAACGCCCCCTAAATTGAATTCACAAAATCAAGATAACACTGAGGAGACTGTGATACATCCGTTCCGTTTTCTTTACAATACAGTCAATATCCTCTTCAATTCATGATCATTTCAATTTGTATTCGTGCAGGTGTTTATGAAAGGTCCTTCATTGTATGCATTTAGGGGCTTGGCTGGTAGATTTGCTCCTATTGGAGTACACTTGGCAATGATTCTGATTATGGTAGGGGGAACACTTAGTGCAACTGGAAGTTTTAGAGGCTCAGTGACAGTTCCTCAAGGACTAAACTTTGTCATGGGTGATGTCTTGGGCCCAACTGGATTTCTCTCAAATCCGACTGAAGCTTTCAATACCGAAGTTCATATCAACCGGTTCTCCATGGACTATTACGAAAGCGGAGAGGTAAGCTTCTTGTTCTTTTTCTTATAATTTGATTGTGTTTTCAACGTTATGGTATAATCAGCCGTTATGCATTTCAGCATGTCATGGCCATTTTCAGTTGGCTTCTTTTCCATTCGGTATAGGTCTCGCAGTTTCACACCGATCTTTCACTCCGTGATCTTAACGGTAAAGAAGTGATGAGAAAGACAATAAGCGTAAACGACCCCTTAAGATATGGCGGGATCACAATATACCAGACAGATTGGAGTTTCTCGGCCTTGCAGGTTTCAAAGGACGGTGAAGGACCATTCAACTTGCCTATGGCACCTATCAAGATCAACGGCGATAAAAAGTTGTTCGGGACCTTCTTACCAGTTGGTGAAACCGATTCTTCCAATGTCAAAGGAATGTAAGAATACTCTTCCTTGATGGAGAATCCCCTCTTTGGAGTTTTCCCGAGTTTTACAAACATTACGGTATTTGTGCAAAACTGCAACCTTTGTGGTTACTGCCAATATTTGTATTATCCCGAAAAGGGTATGTGAGATGGGACAAAAAGGTTAACTATCTTCATGAACTCTTAAACTTTTGTTTTCAGATCAATGCTAGCTCGGGATCTACAATCCATTGTCCTATACGATACAGAAGGGAAATTTTCCGGAGTAAGAAGACCAAACTCGAAGCTTCCCATTGAGATCGATGGTATGAAGATCGTTATTGAGGATGCAATCGGAAGCAGTGGTCTTGAGTTAAAGGTGAAAATTCTTTTTTGGCTTAAAAAGATCCTCGCTTTTTCTCAGGTAACGAAGAAACTCTGCTAAAACTGAACATTGAATGATTTCGTTCTGTATTTTATTTCCCAGACTGACCCCGGAGTCCCGTTTGTGTATGCTGGTTTTGGCGCTCTAATGCTCACAACTTGCATCAGTTACTTGTCTCATTCACAGGTAAGCAACCCTTTAGGCTTTTGAACTTCCATTTAAGTATTCATAGGTAGTAAAGTTTCTAGAACTATTTTTCGATATGAAGAACCCCCTTCTAAAAGATAGAAAGTAGCGAAAACTAGTTTATCGGCATAGAATGTTGATGAAAGAAGGAACTAGTTTCGAATTCGGTAGTTCATGTAGTTTTATTGGGACATTCTGGGTCGATATAGCTTGAGATCCTGGAGCTGGTTTTACCTCAAGAGTTTGGACATGGAATCTATGGTGTCTAATCCTCAGATTCATGTTTTTGTTTGTAGAACCAAACCCTTTTCGCTGTTTCGTTCGATCTTGTTTACGTTTTCAAACCTGCTGAATTATCTCTTTAATCGTGTTTTTTTTTTCCATGTTTCGTGTTTTTTTTTTTTTGAACCATGGTGAAGATATGGGCACTACAGAACGGAACAACAGTGACAGTTGGTGGAAGAACGAACCGAGCAAAGGCAGAATTCCCGGACGAGATGAATCGTTTGCTCGATCAAGTTCCCGAGCTGATCGAGCATTCTACGGATGGTTAGTTAAGATTAGAAGTTAGATCTCAAGGAAGCATTTTCAGACAAGAAACCAGGGAACAACATGGGCCTCCATCCGATGAACAACAAAGGCATCTCCTATTGGGTTTTATTTGGAGGCTAATATTATACACAAGAGTTGTATAAAGGAAGACATCATCAAGTAATGTATTGTCTCGTGTATCTATGCGCAATTTTTTTTCCATTTGTGATTATAACTTAGTGTTATTCTTTTGGAAAATAAAAATAAAAATTTCTATATGTAGTATTACTATAACTGTCATTCATTGTAAAGCAATCCCAAAGTTAGAATTTGGATTTTACAAAAAAAAATTCTTTTTAATACTAATTATTATTTATATAATTTCTATGTATATATATATATATATATATCATTTCCAAACAAAAAAACGTCTTCAAGTTTTTTACTTATACTAAAAAAAAAACTTCTACTTAAAATTTAGGAGCAGTTGACAGAATGTAATCAAACAAAAACGAATTTGCAAAATATCTCACAAAAAAACAATTTTTGCATACTATACTTTTTTTTTCTAAATAACCAAACTACCCTTTACAATATTTTTCTACGATTGAGTGATAATCTATCTTTTGAAAATCGGTAAGTTTTGCTATTTGATCTTTTTTTCTCCAATATTTTCTCTATCTCCTCTATTTCTTATATAGTTATCTAATCTATTCAAATACTCTTCTCATTGATTTTTTTCTATGATATTCTCATCATTTTTTTGCATACACATAAGGTGTTTGATGAAATGTTTGTACCAGAAAACTGCGGCAGATGACCTGCGATCTGTGAAAAATGACATGTGCTCTGCGTTAAATGACCTATGGTCTGGCAGATGACATGTGATATGCCGCAAAATGACCTGCGGTCTGCGGTATGTCACTTGGCCTACGACATGTCACTTGCGGCACCTGGCAGGTCACTTGCGGCACCTGTGACCTGCGACACTTGCAGCAGGTCATCTGTGGTACCAGCGGCACATACGGTCTGCGGCAGGTCATTTGGCCTATGATAGGTCACTTACGGCACCTGGTAGGTCAACTGTACCTGCTGACCTGCGGTTGGTTACACCTGGTAGGTCAACTGTACCTGCTGACCTACGGTATGTCGCACATGCGGACCTGCAGCGTGTCGCACCTACGACCTGCGACCTGCGGACCTGCAGACCTGCTGTCCTACGACCTGCGACCTGCGATTTGCGACCATGATTTCACTACGACCATATAACTACGACTATGACTAAATAATCGCGATCATTTGACTACGACTAGATAACTACGACTACGACCAGATAATTGCGATCGTGATTTTACTACGACCATATAAGTACGACTATGACCAGATAATTACAACTGTGATTTCACTACGACCATATAACTACGACTACGACCAGATAATTACGACTGTGATTTCACTACAACTATCTTTTAGAAATCGTAACGTTTTGTTATTTGATCTTATTTTTTCTCCAATATTTTCTCTATCTCCTCTATTTCTTATAGTTTATCTAATCTATTCAAATACTCTTCTAGTTGATTTCTTTTTATGTGATATTCTGATCATTTTTTTGTATGCACATAAAGTGTTTGATGAAATGTCTGTAAAAGAAAACTGTAGAAGATGACGTGCCGTCTATGAAAAATTACCTATGCTCTACGGTAAATGACCTATAGCCTGTGGCAGATGACCTACGACCTGCTAGATGACTCGTGGCCCGCGACAGGTCATCTTCAGCGCCTACTTGTTGATATTTTATTATAAATACTATATTATATATTGCGGAATATTTTATTCTGGATCAATCATCATGCATTCCACACAAAGAATTATTCTGGAATTTAGAAGATACCTGAATCCATGATAGCTTGACAAATGGCAGAGTGAGTAGAAACCCTTCTAGTCTAGAACGTAAGAAATATTTTTCTGACAACAAATGGGTGCTATCAGATTTCAATAGGTTTAGCCTAGGGACCACTACCACTATTTATAATAATAGGTTTGTGTAATTTCCAAATTCGCCCATAAAGAATTAGGAAATTACACTTCATGGTATCTGCATAATTATTTGATCCCTATACTTTTCTATATTTGCATATTCGACCATCCGTAATTAGTGGCCATAATCTTCTGTAATTATTCACATTAAACAGCAATTATACCATATATTGATTATGACATTAAAATCAAAATATAGCTGTTAGAGAATTTCTAACAATCTCTCGCTTGGTTGAATGTCTATAATCCCATAAATATGGATTTTCTTTAGTGAGCTCATAAATTGCTTGTTCTTTGTGAACACTGTTAGGGTTATCTACGGGTTCCTAGTATGCGATCATATCGATCTAGGGTTTGGTTTACTAGGTTTCATGCAGCGGAAGAAAGATCTAAACCTAGTCAAACGTCACACGCAACCAAACTCGCAAAACCCGAAAGATCGTGTATATCACCGAGGGAATCGTTACTTACCTCGTTCTCGATGAGACTTGAAGTTTATTTCGATCCGGGGCCTGTTCTAAATCACCTAGGACTTAAGTTACAGTCCCTCTACACGTATCCACACCGACGGGAAGGATTCCAAACGATTTGGAACGAATCTGCTAGGATTAGTGAAGAAAAAGGGTAACTCAAGAGACGAGATCCAATCCCGGGACAATAGAAATCGAAGAGAACA